TGAAAGAAAAAAAATACTTAGCAGGATTAGACCAACAATATTTCCCTGTTCCCCACATCTACAAAAATTCAGATATCCTATATCATAAAAAACTTCAAGTAAATGTTCTAAGAATATAAACTTTATACTTCAGAATTTTTTGTCTTTTACAAATAAACAAAAAAAAAAAAAAAAAAAGAAAAGGAGAAATTCAATATAGGAGAGAGAGAGATTCAGAGAATCCCCATAGTGATGGTGGTGGAGGCGGCTACAATATCTCCTGTTCACAATTTCTGAAAAGCTGAAATTGTGTTTGGTAGTCTTTATATACATTTAATTTAAATTGTCATGTTTTAATGATACCTACTTGTAATTCTGTTGTTAAAATAAGATTGCTTGTTCTCTCTTCACACATGTATAAAGTTAATGAAATGTGAAAATAAGATAGATTTCTTATTTAAATAAAACCTTTCAGAGCTGTGGCTAATTTCAAGCAATGCCAGTGATTATTTCTGAAATGACATATAACCCATTTTAGCAGTTGAGATAGCAGATGTACACTGTTGGCTGGTGGAAAATGTCTCCTTGCTCCTAAGAGTCACAGGAAATGGTCTCCCTACTCGTTTTTCAGGATGTTGTCATGTCTGTTTATAATGTCTGGAAACTTGCCAGCCATCATTGTTCCAGCCAACACTGGGGAATGCAGAGTAAAAAATGGAAGCAAATTCGAGTCTCTGAATATTTCTTTTTGCTATGAATCAAAAATCTCTGGAGCCAACTGTCCCTCTGGAAGCTTGTTATATGACTCAATATACTTCCTCATTGCTTCAGTCAGTATGGTATTTTAGTTTCTACTGAGTATTATCTCAAGTGAATCAAACTACTAAGGGTCATGGTCCATACATACTGGGAGCTAGAAATGCAGAGATAAGCTGATTCCATCACAGCCATCAAAACCAACTCACTGTCTGGTGGGAGATAAACACACACACACAAATGCACGTCATAGTCTGGGTGTTAACTGTTATCCTACAAATTATACAGATGTTTTGTGAAACTAGACACACTTAATGCATACAATGCCAGAAATAAGGAGCAGAGAGAAATTGCAAGAATATCCAAATAGGCAACAATCAGAAAATGGAAATTTAAACCACAAAGGTAAAAATCAGATACTACCGTATATCTACCAGAGTAACAAAAAAATTATTTAAGCTGATGATGCCAAATACTGTGAAAAATGTGGAGAAAGCAAAACATTCGTGAACTGTTTATGAGTCTATCAGTACATTTGTTTGGAAATCTGTTTAGAGTAATTGAAACTTATTAAAGTTGAACACAGGCATATCCATGACCAAACCCCAGCAATTCCACTCCCAGTATATACAGAAAGAAATGTGTACATGTGTGTTCCAAAAGATATGTAAAAGTGTGATCATAACACCCTCATCAGTAGCTCTGACTTCCCAACATCGTATTCTCAAAAACATAATAAAGGATTTTCAGTGAGGGGCCATGTTGGAATGCTTCTTTAATGTGGTTCTCGGCTAGTACTATACGGCCATGAAGGCTTCCTAAAGGAATTGTGCTCAGTACTCAATTAATTCCTTGAGTCTGAAGAAGAAATTAGAAGACAAAAAAAAAAAAAAAAAAAAAGCAATATTTGGAACTAGAAAAGTGACCAAGAATCTCCAATTCAAAACAAAATAATAGAATCAATTTTTTTTTTTTTTAGTTGGAGTCTCACTCTATCGCCCAGACTGGAGTGCAGTGGCCGCTCCCGACCACTGCAGCCTCGACCTGCTGGGCTCTGGCGATCCTTCCGCCTCAGCCTTCCAAGTAGCTGGAACTACAGGCACCCGGCTAGTTTTTTTGATTTATTGTAGAGATGAGGTCTCACCAAGTTGCCCAGGCAGGTCTCAAACCCGCGGGCTCAGGCAATCCACTCACCTCAGCCTCCCAAAGGTGCAGGATTACAGGCTGAGCCACCAAGCCCGGTGAATCAAATTTTTAAAATAAACAATCTCAATACTAAAACAAACAAAAATTCCAGCAAAAAAACTATTATACAATCTCACTCATGGGATGCAAAAATCTTAAACAAAATAGTAGCAAATAAAATCAAGCAGTGCGCCGGGCTCGGTGGCTCAGCCTGTAATCCCGCAATTTGGGAGGCCGAGGTGAGTGGATTGCCCGAGTCCGTGGGTTCGAGACCCACCTGGGCAACTTGGCGAGACCTCATCTCTACAATAAATCAAAAAATTAGCCGGGTGTGGTAGTGCACGCCTGTAGTTCCAGCTACATGGAAGGTTGAGGCGGAAGGATCGCCGGAGCCCAGCAGGTCAAGGCTGCAGTGGCTGGAAGTGGCCACTGCACTCCAGTCTGAGTGACAGAGTGAAACTCCAACTCAAAAAAAAAAAAAAAAAAATCAAGCAGTGCATCATGACTAACCTGGGTATATCCAGAAATGGGAAGAAGTCAATGAATCTGTCAATATGAATTATCACAATATCAAATTAAATACTATCCAAGTGTAGGAAGAGATGATGAAATGGTACTTGATGAAACCCAGGAGGCATTCCTACTTAGATACCACAAAGATTTTTACTCACAAATAAAACATTAGAATAAGGCAGCCATTTATGTTACCATTCTATCATAGCTAACAACCAGACTTGGTGACTGAAATTCCCAACTTGAGAGTTCTCTTTTGCTTATAGCAATATTTCCCTATGCAGGTTCACATACCTAAGTTGATAACAGGCAACAGGAATCAGTATTTCCACAGTAAAGTTTGAGATACAACAGTTTTAACAAAGCTGAACAACTTTCTTCATTAGAATACTCTTTAGTCTTTTGATAAGCTGATGAGGTGCTTTTGCTTGTTCCTTTAAGGAGGAATTTAGTAGCTGCTACTTTATAAGCTTCTTTAATCATAAAATCCCCCCTTCTTTTTCAAATACTAGTAACATCGGTGATTCCTGAGACATAATTTCAGAAATGCTGGGATAAGGCATCATTTCCACATCTCTTGGTTAACAGGCAGACATGGTACCCGGAGGGAGGTGGCATACTAGCCAAGTAACTATATTCTATTAAAACACTCAAAATAATCTGATTTGTATTACACTTGATTATTATAAGCACAATCGTGTGGATGATGATATCAACAACTAGATAGTGAATGACTAAACAGTAATATATATCATGGATAGCTTATTTACATAAAATAGAGTGGTGAGGTATAGATTTATAACAATGAACCATAGACATTTGGTTGTCAATGCAGAACTTTTGATGCAATTGACATTATTTTTGGAATAGAAAAATTTTTACAGGGTTGATTTCTGTATGACTATATGAACACTCGATTTCATCATAACTAATATGCTTTGATGCTAGCACTAAGTCATGACAGCCACCTGGTTGAAAGTGGTTACAGGGCCGGGCTTGGTGGCTCAGCCTGTAATCCCTCGCTTTGGGAGGCCGAGGTGAGTGAATTGCCTGAGCCCGCGGGTTCGAGACCCGCCTGGGAAACTTGACGAGACCTCATCTCTACAATAAATAAAAAATGAGCCAGGCATGGTAGCATGCACCTGTACTTCCAGCTACTTGGAAGGCTAAGGTGGAAGGATCGCCGGAGCCCAGCAGGTCAAGGCTGCGGTGGCCAGGAGCGACCACTGCACTCCAGTCTGGGCGACTGAGTGAGACTCCAACTCAAAAAAAAACAAACAAAAAAAAAAAAACAAGCAAGTGGTTACAAGAAGCTATCAATTTCAAGATGCACTGTGACTTCACACCACATGATTACACATTTCCAAAGTAGTCTATCAAGGTTTACCAATTTTAATAGCGATCTAATGGATCTTTATAATGAAAGCTCTAGCCGTAATCATCTTAATCAAGTGATCAAACTTGGCATTGGTGACAATGGGGAAAATTGACATGAAGAGTGTGTGCTTCTAATGTGTTACAATATTAAGTATACATCACCATCTATGAAGTGCCGTGGCCAAAAATGTTTAAGCCTCTGGTTCCAACTTAATTTTATGAGAAATATGAAAGATAGTGGCACATATTAAGTTTCACCATGAGGAAAGAAAAGAGCCATTATGAGAAACAAATGTATGGCAATCTAGAAAACAGTTTTCCTAAACTCTTCTAAAGTCTGGAGTTTTTTTTTTTTTTTTCCAGTCTCAATTTTTGATACCGCTCAAGGGATAAACTCTGACCAAGAAACCTTTCAGATGACTTACATTTTACTAGATCTTATCCTAGATGAACTATCTGAAATACAAATGAATGAATGGTTATGGGAAGCTTTCTAAATTCATTACACCAGACGGTTGTTCCTCTTCTAAGAATTCACCAGTAGTAATGCTACTGAAAACAATATAGACAATAGCTAATATATTGAGCATAGGTTACATACCAGATACTCTTCCAAAGATCTGATGCATACTAAATCCGTCCATTCTCTACAACAGCATTAGTTACCATGATCAGCATTTTAAACATGCTGTCCAGAGGGGATAAGCATTTTGCCCAACATCCCACAGGTATAAGGTGAAATGGTGATGACAGTACGGTTTGTGCCACAGATAAGTTTTCCTATATTTGTCAGTTTGTTTGTTTTTTGAGTTGGAGTCTCTCTCCATCGCCTAGGCTAGAGTGCAGTGGCACACTCACAGCCACCCCAGCATCAACCTGCTGGGCTCCGGCAATCCTTCTGCCTCAGACTTCCAAGTAGGTGGAATTACAGGCGTGCACTACCAGGCCCAGCTAATTGTTTTGATTTATTGTGGAGACGAGGTCTCACCAAGTTGCCCAGGCTGGTCTCAAATCCATGGGCTCAGGCAATCCACTTGCCTCAGCCTCCCAAAGGGCTGGGATTACAGACTGAGCCACTGAGCGTGGCATATTTGTTACATTAACAAAGTTAGTCTCGAGGATGAATTTGCTGACGTTTAACAAAGATTGGATAGTGTTGGAGGGTTTCTGTATATTTAACATATCTGCTATAAATTCTCACATACTTTTATGGCCATTAGAAAATCATGAATCTCTCATTTGCCAAGACTTCCTACAGTATGAGTAGTCTGCTATTCTAATCAGAGGCAAAAAAATGAAGGTTTTCTTATTTGAATTAAATCATGTTGAGACCTGTCTCATGTCTTTAAAAGTGTGAATGTTGCCTCTAAAATTATTTCTGGGGAAGGACAAACTCTGTTTTTTAATTTCCAATCATTTATGGACTAATAATTTCATAAGATACAATGAAAATGCTATGACAATATCAAGTTGCTACAAAAGTTTCCAAACATTTACTTTTCTTTTCTGTATTTATATCATGATGAACATATGACAATTTTGTGGACCAGCACTAGTCTCTGGAAGAGAGTTTAAATAGCATTTGTCTAAAGGCTTTCCTATAATTCCAATTCAAAGGATTTCTCATTTGGATGAATTATCTAATTTATTCTAAGACGTTTACCATGTCTACAAGCCTTCTCAAATTCCTTACCCTCAAAGAATTACACAGTGGTATGAATTCTCTGATGTGCAGCAATAATTGAATTAAGTTTAGGTCCTTCCCACATTTCTTCCATTTGATGTATTTCTAATGAGTAAACATTCTCTAATGTTGATCAGACTCTGTGCCACAAATAAAGATCTTCACACATTCCTTACATTTGTATGGCTTTACATAAGTATAAATTACTATTTAATAAGATTGTACAGAAGTCGAAAGGCCTTTTCATATTTCTTATATTCAAAATATTTCTCACTAGCATGAATTTGATATCAAGTAAACTGTCCACATACAGGGATGAATGGGTTTTGCACATTCCTTACATTCACAGGGTTTCTCAAGAGTTCTCCTAGTTGAGTAAGTAATATGTACACACAGAAAAGTGTTCTTTCATATCTTTCAATCATAAGTTTTCACCAGCATCAATTTTCTCATTTAAGTTGTCCATATAAAGGCTTCCCCACACTCTTTATATTCATAGAGTTTATCATTACTATGAGTTCTCTCATGTTGAACAATATGTGTAAAGGTCTTCCCAAATTCCTTACATTGATAAAGTTTCTCACCAGTATGAAGTCTCTGATGAACACATATTTGATAGCCACTACAAAAGGCCTTCCCACATTCTTTACATTCAAAGGATTTCTCACCAGTATGGACTTTCTCATGCTTAACTAGGCTTGAACCCCAACTAAAGGCCTTCCCACATTTCTCACATTTAAAAGGTTTCTCACCAGTGTGGATTTTCTGATGTTGAGTAAGGTGATAGCCACGACTAAAGGTTTTTCCACATTCTTTGCATTCATAAGGTTTCTCACCTGTATGGACTCTCTCATGTTTAACTAGGCTCGAACCCCAACTAAAGGCCTTCCCACATTTCTTACATTTAAAAGGTTTCTCACCAGTGTGGATTTTCTGATGTCGAGTAAGTTGATACCCACTACAAAAGGCCTTCTCACACTCTTTACATTCATACAACTTCTCACCAGTATGGACTCTCTCATGTTTAACAAGGCTTGAACTCCAACTAAAGGCCTTCCCACATTCCTTACATTCAAAAGGTTTCTCACCAGTATGAATTTTCTGATGTTGAGTAAGGTGATAGCCACGACTAAAGGCCTTTCCGCATTCTTCGCATTCATACGGTTTCTCACCTGTATGGATTCTCCCATGTTGAATAAGACTTGATCCACAATTAAAGGTCTTCCCACATTCCTTACATTCATAGGGATTCTCACCAGTATGAAATAGTTGATGCCGAGTAAGCTGATAGCCCCAACAAAAAGCCTTTCCACATACTTTACATTCATAAGGTTTCTTACCAGTATGGATTTTTGATGCTGAGTAAGTTGATAACCACGACTGAAGGCCTTCTCACATTCTTTACATTTATAAGGTTTCTCGCCTGTATGAATTATCTCATGTTTAGCAAGGCTTGAACCCCAAAAAAAGGCCTTTCCACATTTCTTACACTCATAAGATTTCACACCAATGTGAATTTTTTGATGTTGAGTAAGGTGGTAGCCACGACTGAAGGTCTTCCCACATTCTTTGCATTCATAAGGTTTCTCACCAGTATGGATTCTCTCATGTTTAACAAGGCTTGATCCCCAACTAAAGATCTTCCCACATTCCTTACATTCATAGGGTTTCTCACCAGTGTGAAATCTCTGATGCACAGTGAGTTGATAGGCACTGAAGTAGTTCTTCCCACATTCTTTACATTTATAAGGTTTCTCACCTGTATGAATTATCTCATGTTTAGCAAGGCTTGAGCCCCCAAAAAAGGCCTTTCCACATTCCTTACACTCATAAGATTTCACACCAATGTGAGTTTTTTGATGTTGAGTAAGGTGATAGTGATGACTGAAGGTTTTCCCACATTCTTTGCATTCATAAGGTTTCTCACCAGTATGGATTCTCTCATGTTTAACAAGGCTTGATCCCCAACTAAAGGTCTTCCCACATTCCTTACATTCATAGGGTTTCTCACCATTGTGAAATCTCTGATGCACAGTGAGTTGATAGGCACTGAAGTAGTTCTTCCCACATTCTTTACATTCAAAGTGTTTCTTAGCTGTATGAGTTCTCTCATGTTGAGCAAGTTTTGAGCCATGACTACAAGCCTTCCCACATTCCTTACAAACATAAGTTTTCTCTCTATTATGAATTCTTTGATGAGAAGTAAGAGATTTACTTTTTCTGTAAGTGAGCATTTTATCATAGCTGACTATCATTTGACTGAAGCTTTGATGTCTTTGTAGTCCCTTGAACTTGCTTTTGCATTTCGAATTATTTCTGAAAACAGATGGCTCAAGGCCAAGGGTTTTACTTTTTTCCTTTATCTCCCATGGGGGAAAATTTATTTCAAAAATATCCTTTTCTGAAAATATATTTTTAGTCTCATATGTTGACTCCAAATCTGAAAGAAAACAAGAAAACCACACATTTTACTTATTTCACCTGAAAAATAAAAACTCGATAGTAGAAATGAAAGATAAATTGAAAATAATACCACCTGGAAGTAAACTAGATTAGGAGACTTACTGAACTCACTCCTGAGCATTAAGACTCTCCTGTTTAACAACAAACTCAGCTTTGTTTTTTCAGCTCTTGGTGATCTTATTGCCCTGATTGGATAGTTACTGGACAGTTTCAGAGACTGCTTTAGCAAGTCCCTCACGTTCAAGCTGGTAGTCCCTTAAACCAAAATGTTAGCTTCCATCAGTAAAGCCCTTATGTGCCCAGGTGTGGTCTTCCAATGTCCCCTGCTAGGTATGTCTCTTAATGGCAATAAAGTTCTTCCTATAATGAACTTTGGCTGATTTTGTTTGTCTAACCCAGTCTTTCTAAGTTTTCTGTAGCTACAGCTTGTTCTCTTTATTGCTAGTCAAAAGGCTACTGAAAAACTTGAATTTAACTCCAGAGTTTGTTGTCTGAACTTTCAACTTTGATATACTGTCCATTTGGTTACTTGAATGTGATTTGTTATGAGAGAAGAAACGATCACCACCTTCTAACTGGCTTTTGTACATACCAGATCACATAGCCCCACATGGTTGATTCATTAGGAAATCGTTGCGTCACTTTCTACACCTTAAATGTAGTCATAAGTCACTGACTGTGGGTTTTAGTGTCTGTATTTCTGTAATGGATTCTACAGGTAACTCATGCTTTGAGCCATGCCCTATTCCACAGCAAGATCACAAACTAGTGATTACCAGACTGCTCACCTGGCCCTGATTCCATTAGCTCTGTCAGTCCCCACCTTTTCTATACCTTTATGCTGTTTAACCTTTCCTGAAAAACATGATTTATTACATATTATTTGGGTTTTTTTAACTTGTTTTATGTATCTCCCTTACAACAAAGTAAACTGCATGAAAATGGGCAAGTTGTCAGTCTTGTTCATGAGTGTATCGATAGTGCCAAGCACAGTGTCTAGCTAAGAGTAGACACTCAATGCAATATTTATAGAATGTATGCATATATTCATACACACACCACACACACGCACGTACACACACACACACACACACACACAAGAGCTAGCAAATAGCTGAATCCACATGTAGGTAAAATGGTTGCACTGGAAACAAAAAAGAACACCCTCCTCATCTCAATGGGAGGAAGATATGAGAAAACAAGGAGAGTGGTAAATAGGATCAAGATGAAGTTCCTTTGGTAGCTCAAATTGAGATCTTTACCTCCTCCCAGGTCTTGGGGCTTCATACCACAGGTCTTGGTCCTTCTTAGGGGGCCTTCCAAACACCACCCCAGATGTTTTTCCTCCTCTTCCTCTTTGACCTGTGAGGCTGTTCCCTATAATGATGGCCATCCTGCCTTTGCCTTGCCTTCCCTTTTCTGGGTTCCAACTTGATGTGCTTTCCCTCACAGCCATCCAGGGCTCTTTCCTATTCCAATAATATCATCACACCTGGTTTAGAAATAGAGTGTCTGCTTGCAAGGAAAGAAATGCTAAATGTCATAGACTTTTTTAAAATTATAAGCTCAAAACATTTAGTTAATTTTACAATAAAGAAAAGGTCAAAATAATATTGATAAAGACTTCAGAGAAAAAACATGAGATCACCTAGGTAGGAAAATGATCTTGTTTTAGACTCATTCAAGCTCCATTTCTTTAGAGCAAATAGAAAAAGTAGTTGAAAAACACACCCTGGAGCCAGACATCTTAAGTTCAATCCCTGCTACCACCTCCCACCAGGTAGGTGACCTTGGGAAACCATTGAAATTATATATGCCTCCATATTCTCATCTATAAAATGGCACCTACCTTCTGAGGATGTTATAAAGATTAAATAAGTTAATGTATTTGCACTCCTTAGAACAGAGCCTGGTATATAGCAAGCACAGTGCTAACTATTAATATTATTATTGTTCCAGTTATTATTTTGCTAAGAGGAAAACAAGAATTTTCATGAGACATTTTTAGGATTTCACTCAATGTTAAATACCAATTTCACAGTCTGTAACTTTCAGCTTCAAATATGTTATAAGTAATGTGTTCATTTTAGTGTTAATTTAATTCAATTTATTTAATATAGTCCTATATAAGGTATAGAGACTCTTTTGAAAGTCAGAGTATTTCAGAACTCTATTTCTAGCTGTTCTCCCTCCATATGGGTCAGAAAAATAACAAAGAACAATGCTTCCCACTTTTTCTTTTTAATCAGAGTCTGTCGCCCAGGCTGGAGTGCAGTGGCACACTCATGGCCACTGCAGCCTCAACCTGCTGGGCTCAGGCAATCCTTCCACCTCAGCCTTCCAAGTGGCTGTAACTACAGGTATGTGCCACCACACCTGGTTAGTTGTTTTAAAATTTTTGTAGAGACAAGGTCTCGCCATGTTGCTCAGGCTGATCTCGAACCCCTGAACTCAGGCAATCCTTTCACCTCCACCTCCTCAAGTGTTAGGATTACAGGTGTGAGCCACTGTGCCCAGCTATGGCTTCCCACTTTTATATGCCCAAGGATCATTGGGGAATCCAATGCAAATGCAGATTCTGTTGAGTAAAACCTGACATGCTGCATTTCTAACCAACCCAGAAGATACTGATGTTAACAATTTGTGTAATACTTCACAACAAAAAGTTAAAACTTAAATAAAAAAACACAACACATAAACCAAATCATGGCTTCTAATCACTGAGAAAAAAATCCAGACCTCTCCCCAAAACCAGCAAAACTGTCATCAGACTCCTGCCTATCCCCCCTCACTAATTTCTTGATATTCTCTCCTTCACTAACTCTGCTCTGGCCTTCTTATGGTTCCTCAAACAAAATAACTACACTTTGAATAGTAAGGACATACATCTATAGAAAATCTGAAGCCTAACACTATGTGAAACCTGGTTTATTTGTCAATCATTATGAAATAAATGCCCTGTAATGCAAATCCAGTCCCTTGGTCACTAAAGAAGAGAGGCAATGGCCGGAAGGGCCCAAGGAAGACATAGAGCTCACTGAGGGATAGGGAAAGTGCTTAATGAACCCATTTCTAACCTAACTAATATAAAAACCTACCTCTGGGAACAGAGAGAAGAAATTCATCTGGTTTCTTCAAAGGAAGTCCTATAGTCTGGGGACGGTGGCTCACACCTGTAATTCTACCACTTTGGGAGGCTGAGGCAGGAGAATTGCTTGAGCCCAGTAGTTAGAGATCAGCCTAAGCAACATAGCAAAACCTCATCTCTAAAAAATAAAAAAATTAGTTAGGCATAGGAGTGTGTGCCAGTAGTCTCAGTTACTCGGGAGGCTGAGGCAAAAGGATCGCCTGAGCCCAGGCAGTGGAGGCTACAGTGAGCTGTGATCGTGCCACTGCACTCCAGTTTAGGCGACAGAGTGAGACTCTGACTCAAAAAAAAAAAAAAAAAGGCCAGGCTCCCTGGCTCAGCCTATAATTCAGGCACTTTGGGAGGCCAAGGCAAGTGGATTGCCTGAGTCTGAGGGTTCGAGACCAGCCTGGGCAACTTGGCAAGACCTTGTCTCTACAATAAATAAATAAGCCAGGCATGGTAGCATGCTCCTGTAGTTCCGGCTACATGGAAGGCTGAGGCAGAAGGATCACTGGAACCCAGCAGGTTGATGCTGGAGTAGCCATGAGTGTGCGACTGCACTCCAGCTGGGCAACGGAGTGAGACTCCAACTCCAACTCCAAAAAAAAAAAAAGATAGCCCTGTAATTTCCAGTGGAGAAAGCTGACATTGCAAAGAGGAGATTCTAAGTTATTTCAGGCAGATGACCTTACCCAGTGACACCAAGTTACTATAGTTCTCCAACATCACATCCACGTACAAGTCCCTCTGAGCAGGGTCCAGGCATTCCCACTCCTCCTGAGAGAAGTCGATGGCCACATCCCTGAATGTCACCAACCCCTAAAACCAAAAACCCATGTATTACTTGCGAAATTTAAAAAAAAAAATTCCGAGAGGAAAAAATGAAGAATAAACCACAAAGAAGGTAAAAATACAAGCAAGTAGGCTGGAAGCCTCTAAGGGTAGGAAAAAGCAAGAAAGCCAGTACAACTAAAGCAGAATGTCTACATGTTCTAGAAGAATCCTGTTATAGCAGAAAAAACACTTCCTGGATACCATAAGATAACTCAGCTATGCAGATTTGTCTGGTAATATATAAAATAATCTTAGTTTCTTCTCTATCAAATAAAAAGCAAGTGTGTGTATAAGTGTACATGTATATTTACAATCTACTATGTGCCTCCCACACAAAAATTCTTTGCAAATGTGAATTGCTAACCACCTTTTCTCTTTAAGAATATGAAAACTTTTTTCCAAATGTACTATAAAATCTCTATTTTGTAAAAATGATTTCCATTAAATTAGGGATTACTGCCAAGCCTCAAGCACATTGTTGTGTTAGATTTTTCTTATTATAATGAATAAACAAAATATTTTTTATTAGCTGCAATTCATCTTGTCCTCTGAATATATGAGATTAATCACTCATATTTAGGTTGAACAAAACTTCTTAAGTTTTTCTTAATTCTGGTAATTTATTATCATCTAGACCTTAGGCATCTGCATCTTCTTCTCACCTGTTACCATCAACCAATCCTTGCTTAATATTTTCCTTGTTCCTGAGTTAGAGGAAAACAGTATAGAATGTTGCATATGACACAGATGTCACCCAAGAGCTCCATCTCCTGGACAACAAAAAAAAGGGACTTCAAAGTCCGTTGGTTGTATAGATCATGCGTGATTCCAAAGACCACTGCTGTTCATCTCTTAGGGACTTCCTGGAAAGAACCACTCATTCCCCTCTGATCTGAAAAGCTCCCAAAGTATGCAACCTCACATAAACTGAGGCTGAGACCAAGCAATCCCAAATTCCATCTTATCTCTTGAAAACTCAGGTCCGTGGAGAAGTTCCAAGTTTCCCATGTGGTCCAATAAGACCCTCAACACTAACTCATCACACTACAGACTTGGCATAGAATAAGAAATTTGAGTAAGAGATAAATGGTACAGACCTGGGTGAACAAAGATAGCAGGGATAACAAAGGTACTACCTAAGATAGTCTGTCATGGATAGGCCACAGTTAAACACCAAAGCTCTTCTCAAAAATGTATAAAAAACTGAAACTGGGCCGGGCTCGGTGGCTCAGCCTGTAATCCCAGCACTTTGGGAGGCCGAGGTGAGTGGATTGCCTGAACCCGCGGGTTCGAGACCCGCTTGGGCAACTTGACAAGACCTCATCTCTACAATAAATCGAAAAATCAGCTGGGCATGGTAGCGCACGCCTGTAGTTCCAGCTACTTGGAAGGCTGAGGCAGAAGGATCGCCGGAGCCCAGCAGGTCGAGGCTGCAGTGGCCGGGAGCAGCCACTGCACTCCAGTCTGGGCGACAGAGTAAGACTCCAACTCAAAAAAAAAAACAAAAACAAAAAACTGAAACTGCTCTTTTGGGTAACCATCCAGTTATCTAAGTTATCTTGACTGACTTCTTTGCTAGTTGCCTCTCTAATCAGCATCTTACCTTTAAAAATGAAAACTGTTGGCCAGGCACAGTAGCTCACACCTGTAATCCCAGCTCTTTGGGAGGCCAAGGCAGGTAGATTGCTTGAGCCCAGGAGTTCGAGATCAGCCTAGGCAATATAGATCCCATCTGTACAAAAAATTAGCTGGGCATGGTGGAACATACCTGTAGTCCCAGCTACTTGGGAGGCTAAGGTGGAAGGGTCACCTGAGTCTAGGAGGTCAAGGCTATAGTGAGCCGTGATCGGTGCCACTGCACTCCAGCTTGGGTGACAGAGTGGGACCCCAACTCAAAAAAGAAAACAATTGTTCTCAAAATTTCTGCATCTCCCATTCCCTTCCCTTTCCTCCTTTGTATGAATCCTGTTAGTGCCTTTAACAGATGAAATCAGTCCACTACGGGTTTTCCTTGTATACAAATAAAAGTGTGCTAATTGTTAGCTATATTCTTTGAATGACTCGTTGACAGAAGCTTAATCATTTCCCTCAAAAGATTCCAATGCTCTACCATTACTCTTGCCAGAAGACTGGGCACACAGATGATGTTGAATAATATGTTCAGCGATTATGACACTGAATGGAAAGGGAAAAGGCACACAGGGGAAACACTGGACTATTTGCACTATCAATAGAATAGGAAGAACTGAGAAGCAGACTCAGGGATGGAGTTCTGTCACAAAGAAAGGTTTAGAAAAATTAAGAAAAAGATTTGTGTGACCTAAAATCACAGTATTTCATAATGAGGAAACTTACATCAGTCGTCATTTTAGAACTGCAAGAACTAATTAATGCTCCATGGGATTGCTCTATTGGTGAAGCACAGAATCCAGAAAAGCCAGAACTGGGGAAGGAAAAAGAAACATTAAACCAGGTATGCCTAAGTGATCCATCCTGACTTAAGCTAATAAAAGATTTCATCTTCTCTCTTCCTGCTTCTACTCCACACCCCACATGCCATTTATCGATTCTAAACTCTTGCCCAGTCCCTAAAGTTCTTCAGCAGGATGATTTCAGGCCGCTCCTGTTTCTAGGGATACTAATCTTGATGTGGGATTGAACTATTTGGTCCTGCCCAGGTCAAATCCTCCTCCTTCCACTCCCACTTCTAAAGACTAAAAAGGAACTGCATGGTCCAAGCTGGAAGGTCTTCATGGGCTCAGAACTGAAGGAAGTTGGGCAAGACATGGGCGCTAAGACAAGATGTATAAAGAATTGCTCAGGAGCCAAAGCTGACTTCTTAATGCATGTATCTGATGCATGACATGGAACACTATGAAGTTAGTAAATGCTAATGTAGGGAAATAATCAAGATCTGCCAATAGAAAAAATAGGTTATGAAATGCACAGTATGATTACATTTATAAAATACATGCATATACCAGTATAGAAAGACAATCAGATATCAATCGATAAAAAAGTTTAGAAATATATGTCTGTATATTAATAACAGTTATCTTTTTATTGTGGCCACAATGTTCTTTATGTTTAGGTAGTCTGCATAATTGTTGTAATCAGGCCATGCATTATATTAATTCCATGATTTCTACATAAGCCCATGTCCTGCCTAGAAACAATGTCTGAAATTCCCCAAGTAATGCCATAGATATATTGATACGGTCTTGATTCTGCTTCCCTTCATGTCTTACCAGATGAGTTTATTTTGCAAATAACATGCCTTAGACATCATACCCTCCAGAAACCTGTTGAATCACCTGATCCCATTAGTCTTGCTTTGCGACTAACATTCATAGAATAAAAACTACAAGGCATAAACCTTACAGAATAAATTCCATTTGCATCTATATAAATGGCCATGGCCCCACGGTACAGCTTATAATTACCTTCTTATGAGATCCTAAGGTGGGTCACCTGGATTACCTACTGGTCATTATTACTGGCTGCCTTACACGTATTCCTATGTATATTTTGTCTTCTCTGTCTTCAAGGTAACAACTATATCGTCTAGTCACTGTGTCATAGTATTACCCCCCCAAGTACTACTATCACAGGGTCTTGCACTTGGGGAAAATTCTTACCGAAAATTCCACTTCTAGAAATATATCCTTAAGAAACAGCTAGAGAAGCACACAGCATGTATTCACAAGGAGATTCAACAAAAAATAATTTATAATTACCAAAAATTAGACAGAAGGTAATAGTAGGCAATAGGTTTAATAAATAATGGCCCACTATAACCTCATTAGTTATGATAGTTTTGGTTCATAATAATTTATGAAGAAAGAATTGCATAATCAAGTAAGGCAAGCAAGTATGTAAAATAATTGAAAGGTACATTCTGTGGAAACTAAGAAAAAAACTCTGGTGTCAGACTTTCAGGATGTGAATTTGAGCTTGATAGTTACCAATTTCCCAACACCTCCAATCCCTCATCAATAAAAGAGGGATGCCGGGCTCGGTGGCTCAGCCTGTAATCCCATGCCTTGGGAAGCTGAGGTGAATGGATTGCCTGAGCCCGTGGGTTTGAGACCCACCTGGGCAACTTGATGAGACCTCATCTCTACAATAAATCAAAAAAATTAGCTGGGTGTGGTAGCGCGTGC